TATATATATATATATATATATATATATATATATATATATATATATGTTTTCTGTACACGAACATTCCGAATACACATTTATTCTAATAGAGATAGTCGCACGCCATTTACTTTTTCTATGTCCAAGCCTAAAATAGTTGCATCCTTCGGCGCCTAATCCTCTTTTCATTCTTTTTGTCTTAACGTAGACGAAATCCGGTGAAGAAGGTGAAGTTTGCCTGTTCCTCAAACGGTGCCGTGTCTATCGTTACGCAGACGAGGCATGGAAAGAACGTGGAGTTGGTGAAATGAAAGTATTGGTTCAACCACAAGTAATTCCTGATGGCTACACTTCAGGCGGCCGTGATGTGCTCCCCGCCAATGTCAGCTTGAATAACGTCCAACGTGCACGTTTGTTGATGCGTCGTGAGCAAGTCCTAAAAATTTGCGTGAATCAACCAATTGGAATTGACATTCCACACTTCACTCCAATGGGCTCCGCTGACAACAGTATGTGTTGGGTCGGTGAGGATTATAGTGAGGGTTCAGCCACTCATGAGAAATTGGCTATTCGATTTAAGGTATGTGTAGTCTGCTACTTCCCTCTCCAGGGGACTACTTTTTGATGTAATTTGAGTTACGTTTCCAAGGAATCGTCTATTGTGCGATGCGTAGCAATTCTGATAGAAATATCCATTGTTTGCTTGTTCACTAAGCTTTCCTTCTGTGTACCGCTGGAACATTTTGGCGCTATATATCTACACGATCAGTGCCGACCTGCAGAGGATGGGTTATTGGAAGATTAACATGAATATGAAGTAAAAAGGATTATGAAGAACGCAGCATCAAATCTAAAACAGATGGTTAGTTTTATCAAAGACTTTGACCGTGACCAAACAGCTCGGCAGTCTCGTTATTTCTTTTGTGGTTACAATAGTATATGCGTTAATCCGCTCCCGGATACCGTGAAAATCCACCAACCGCCTCTACATATNNAGAATACTTGTAGTCAACATTCAGTTCACGTACATACTGAACAATCAGTGATTCGTTTACGTGCTTTGTGCACATCGTACTAACCTCTAATGTGGAGTTATTTATTATTTATTCATTTAGTGCTCTCTTCTATATACACATTTCTCGTCGATCATTTCATAGAACGCGTCAGACGCCGAAGAATTTCAAGCTGCTGTTCAACGCGCTCAAAACTATCTTCGAAATTCGAGCTGATACCCATCGAGTGAGTCTTTTGCTCTGAAAAACACGGTTTTTCTAAATAATTTTTCCAATATACACATTAATCCCGATTATAAGCCCATCTATGACAGAAAAATCGATACATCGGTACATCTTTATTCTTTTGGTTATATTGTCTAAAGCTGCTGTCGGGGTTCATTGCGTGTGACTGCGCTTCATTGAGTGGGACGACGCATTTTGAGTGCACTTTTTATAGGTCATGATTTAAAAATTTGCACTACCGTTTTGAATGAATAGCGGAAGGACAATGATTGTATTAAGGAGAATTTTCCGTCCGGTTGTGGGAGCCAAAATCTCTAGTCCTGGAACTTGATATGGTAAGCCGAGCATGGTATTCAACCGGGCGTCAGAAAACCTGCCTACCTTCCAAACTTAGTTGATACCTATCATTCAAGTTGGACTACAGGTGACAAAACAAAGTATCGTTTCAAACTGACTGATCCATTAAACTATTTGCTCACTGCTCAGTGAAACAGGTTTTTATGAGATGTCTTTTCGTTCTGAGTTGTCAGGTTGTGTTTGAATATGATTTATTCCATCTTTTGTTTCGGCATAGTGGTCGGAGGACATTTGACCCGGTATCTGATCTTGTATCCTATGAGGCTAAATCTGGTAATGATTTAAGATATACTTTTGTGCGTTTCACTGAGCTATTTTCTCTCGCTTGTTAGAGTAGTTTGATGAGACTGTGTTTGTGAATTGAACTTGTTATTCTTGATTAAATATCTTCACTGGTTTCAAATTGTTTCCTCAGGTTTATGAAAACTTTATTTCCTAACTCATCTGGCTTCAACGTGCCTGGACCGTTTTATTGGCTCTCATTCGGACTCACTCATCTGCCGTTCACACATCATACACGGTTGCTGCAATTCAGCAGTCTCCTAGATTCATGTACCGGTCTGTATCCCATGTATTTTGTCAGATCTTCTATTCTCAAACTCATGTTCCAAACTGGCATTTGCTGGCAACTTTGATATGAACATTTTCGACCACTTCTCATTTTTTTGTTTCGTGGCTCTGGAAAACAGGATGGTTAAAACTGCATGTCTGTCATTAGGTTTATAACTAACTTTCAATGGTCGTTTGCTCGTGACTAAGCGGCCACTCAACTTGCTGTAAAAACTACAAGGTACCGATGCTGATACTATCCTTGTCTGTGCGTTCTGATGAAGACACTCAGCAGTTAGATTTTCCGCTGTACCAATATTTCTGACCAGAAGTTTTATTTAACATTCAGAGAGGCGATTGTTTTTACGTGAATAGGAAAACAACATACCTGGATGGAAAGCTTCCAGCTTAGTCCCAATACTAATATTTTGACCAAATTATGTTTTCTCAAAGTGAAGGATTATTTCAGTCACTAGATAGTTGGGGGAAGTTAGACTAATCATTTCACACTTCCACGATTTGTTCGTGAGCGAGATATGCTCGGTTGATCTAGCCAAATTAGGAATTTTCCTGGAATTCACCATCGGAGCATTCTTCTAACCAAAGCCTCAACCGCTAGTTGGTTTGTAAAAGCCCATACCTGCTGGGTTCCGGTGTCCAGTTTATCGGATCATATGCCTTTTGGACGGCGTCAAACCTCCAAGTTACCCAATCGAGCTGAGTTTCAGTATCGTCAGGGGTGTTTTTTAGGCTGTGACTACTTACCCTTCATTTACACCTCACGAAATGTTTCCATACGAGCACACGTTGCAATAGATTCTGTTCAAAAAACTACTCATCGCCTTCCACCTAATAGAGAGGATGAAAAGCCAGTATTCAGGGCTATAACCGGGTCCGACAACCACTAGAAGTTCACCTCGAGTTGATTAAAAATCTCGGTTTCGGAGCAAGAAAAGGAGTACGAGCTGCACATCCCAGTTGCGGAAGTGGTCACTGAATTGGGTACCTATGAACTCGTCCAAAGAGCAAACGATCAGATAGTATAGGCCCCAACATTCAATGGGGTCATCACCACCGAGTGCGCGGCCTTGTTGATGATGCAATCGCTAGTCGAAGGCTTCGTTTGTGAATTCTCCGAGATAGTTCATCTGCTCTAGTCTGTGTCCCCTTACTTCATCCTCCCTCACGGAAAATACTGGCGTTTTTACTTGGTTGGTTTGGAATCATGCTTTTAACTGAGTTCTCTAGGTGAACTTCCAGATATTCATCAATCTGATTACAGTCCCCGAAGTTTGCTTTCGTTTTTGTTTAAGTACACCGTGAAGACAATGAGTTGAGTTCCATCAACAAACTATTTCCGAGACAGCTGGTAGTATCAAGGTATTCATCGAGCTGCTAAATGCTGGCCCTCAGTTGGAACCCAGGACACCCTCGAGCTTTCAAAGGCATTTTTTTTGGAAAAATGTATTAAGTTCGCTTATTGTAAGTTATGAGGGTGCAATTCGTACTGAACACCTGTGTCGTGGTGGTCGACGAAGAGCACGGGAATGCTGTTTCGTTATTGTCAGTGTTCATTGGAGCAATTTAAGTTTATAAACAGTGCGTAAGTCAACTGGTCCGAATTGTTTGTAGATTGGCACATCCACCGTTTTACTATCATGATGGAACGCTTGTGAGTAGTAATTATTCTCCTACTGTTTCCGGTTTTTCGTTTTTGCCTCTTCGAACAGGAACAGAATTAAAAACGAGATTTCACTCGACTGTAGAATTTTATTTCCTTGGCGGTTTAACTTGGTACAAGCTACAGAATTAAGTTATCTCTAAGAGTGACAACTATCGGTTAGTAATAAGTTACGCAGGATCTCGCACCCCTCGAATTGCATTCACCGGAGATTATGTGCGGTGTATCAGCTCAAGGCAGACTAGGTTCGTTCTAGTTCCATCCATGTTTGCGGCCATTCCTTTCATAACGTTCAACGAGATCCAGTAGTGAAGTGAATTAGAATAACGGTGATATCTGTCACACAGTTCACATTGGGTAATGGCCCCTTAGTGCAACGGTTAATTTACGCCAAAGTCGTAATGACCAGCTTAGGTTAGATAAAAAATAGGCTTTTAACGACTACAAAACGAACAGTGGGTAGTCAGTGTCGGCATGATATATAGATCAAAGCCAGCCGCCTTTACATTGTATCGATCGTATCAGATGCGCAATCGATCTTAAGGCCCTGTCGGTTTTGAGTGAAACTCGATTACAAACATAACAGTCTCCAGTGTGAGTTGCTACGTCACTTCTTTCACTGCGCTTCAGTCACAGTCGCATGCATCCGACACTGCTGTTCAAAGTAAGACTGGCTAGTATGTGGATAGTGGAACAAGCATCAGTTTTCTGCGTGTTTCGACTGGTAATCTCTGTCAGATCGAGGTCGCCCCTTGATGCTCTGTGATGACTAATTGTCTAAAATAAACTGAACTAACTTCAAAACGTTTGCAATGCGGTTCGTCAAAGGTATCGGATTAGGTGATTGCGCATTAAAGTCACGTGATTGCAGTAAATTGAAGTAGATTATCTCTCTTTTCTTTGGGTGTTCTCTGGATGAACCTCTTCGTCAAATGGCTAATGTGGTGTGGTTCTACTCGCATTGCATGTGAGTAGCGTGCACGTTGAAACAGTCTGCGGTTTGGCAGGGCGTAGCGGAGCGGAAGCGAAACAGCGGATCCCGTGTTTGGCTGCAGGACGCCTTAAGCTGTTGAACCATTTAATAGCCACTGAGTTTTCTTGCGAACGCGACTCACGTTCCACGAAACTGCATCCTTCGGGTAGCTAAAACGGGCTATCTTTTGCGCTGCTCATTTTTGAGGTTACCCATGATTTACAGTGCGAGAAAGTATTTAAGGGATGATAGCATCCACAACGTCGGTAATTCAGATTTTTATTGAGAATATACAGCATAAGCTAACGCAGGGTTGGGCAGTCAGGCTAAGTTGTCCCAATGATCCTGATGTTTACACAGTCATCGAGTTCTCCGGGTGGGAATAGTTACTGTGGTCTCGATCGCACTAATCCCGGTTGGTGAGTGGCATATAAATGTATCGATTAGATTCAGTTAGCACCTACGAAAAAAGCGATCAGGTTACCGACCAGTGGGTCAACGTTTCAAGGTCAAGAAATCTTAGAGAGTTACTGTACGATGTGTGAACATTCGGTTACGACGAATTGAATACATTCAGACAGCAACTGTTTGAGCCATTTCCCGAACGTGACCAGAAATTGCAATGCCAGAATGTCACACCGCTGCCCATCTAATTGCATCCACAGGTACAGTAAGAGACTTAGATGGCACTTGAGTTGGCATGAAAAGTGGAATCATATTCCTTTTTATGGTCGGCGGAGTACACGTGATTTCAATAAACATTTATCTGAATAGTAGTTTTTTTGAAGACTACCAGTTGGCTTTGCATTACAATTGGTGCGTACTCTGACGGCAAATGATTGGTGCTGGAATTCCAGTAGACATTTTGGATGCAACTGCTTGAAATGATGTTCCCCGGGGGAAGTAGAATCATCAGCAAAAAACGAAATGGATTGTTTGGTTTCCTTCAAATTTGATACACCGAAATCAATTTTCCTGCAGTTCGGTGGTGCTGAGCGGAATATAACCCCAGAGATTGTGATCCACGTAGGTGAGGCAAAGCAAACCATTGATCATCTTGGTGGGTGTCCTTTGCGGACGCTGCAGCTTCTCGTTAAAGCTATGGTCTTCGGGCTTGGATAGCGTATTCCGCTTCCGGCCGAATGTACACTGATAGCACACATGACAGTGATTCTGATTTAAGCGGCTGCACTGAGTGTTACTTGGAATGTGAGCGAGCCATGCTCCCGGCTCGTCCCAGATGAAGTTCTTTCCATCACTTGTTCAACCAGTTTCATCCCAAAACTCGGACCGGGGATTTAAAAAATGAATTTTTACCTTTTATGTATTGAATATACAAATGTACAATCAACTTTCAGGAAGGGAGCGGTGCTCTTACAAATGCCGCCTGGAAAACACAGGTATGGGGAAGATGGACAGCCGTGGAGAGGT